GTTTTATCTTCCATGCCTCTTAAGCTCTGTAATAGACACTGCTACTTGGTGAATCAACAGTCATCCCCAACTTCTCTCTCCTTTGCAGCTTCCCACTAAAGAAGCCGGAAATGTTAAGCACGCACTTCCTCAAATGCTCTTGCAGCTGAGGTAGCCATGTAAACAAAGCACTGGCAATCAGCTGTAGGAAACCCAGGGAGCATTTTAATTTCCTTTCCAGAGGTGAACACTTGCTCTCTTTCTTCCCCTTTCTTCCCGCCCCACATGTGGAACTGGTGTCTGGAGCTTGGAAGCCACATTCAACCACAAAAGAACAAGAACAAGGACAAAGCCTCCTCAAAGATGGTGGAGTGTAGAGAAAAGACACTCTGGAGTTCTGGATTATAGCATTAAGCAGTAACGCACTCTGGAAACTACATTTGGACTTCTTTTTTTTTTTCTTTAATTTTTTGAGACAGAGCCTCAAGCTGTCCCCCTGGGTAGAGTGCTGTTGCATCACAGCTCACAGCAACCTCCAGCTCTTGGGCTTAGGCGATTCTCTTGCCTCAGTCTCCTGAGTAGCTGGGACTACAGGCACCCGCCACAATGCTCGGCTATTTTTTTGTTGCAGTTTGGCCAGGCTGGGTTTGAACCTGCCACCCCGGTATATGGGGCTGGCTCCCTACCCACTGAGCCACAGGTGCTGCCCAGGGGATATCGATTACTTAAAGATTTAAAAGAATTTGGGCTTATTAGAACTTTTTTTATTTGTGAGACTACATTAAAAACACTTTTTATATACTTATTATTTTTTTTAGAGATGGGAAGGTCTTATTCTGTGCCCAGTCTGATCTTGAACCTTTGGCCTCAAGAGATCTTCCCACCTCACCCTCCTGTATAGGTAGGACTATAGGTGTGTGCTGCTACACCCAGCTAATTAAAAAAAAATTATTTTGTAGATACAAGGTCTCCCTATGTTGCCAAGACTGGTCTCAAACTCCTAGATTACAGAGGTGAGCCACTGTCCATACAGTTGAGGAGTTATCCTTTCTAAAATTTGGGAAACATTGTAGAGCTGTACTTTTAAAAGATCTCAT